CAGTCTTCCCCAGTGGAGTGTCACGGGTGTACACCCACACTCCAGGGGTGAACAGTCTTCCCCAGTGGAGTGTCACGGGTGTACACCCACACTCCAGGGGTGAACAGTCTTCCCCAGTGGAGTGTCACGGGTATACAACCACACTCCAGGGGTGAACAGTCTTCCCCAGTGGAGTGTCACGGGTGTACACCCACACTCTAGGGGAGACCAGTCTTCCCCAGTGGAGTGTCACGGGTGTACACCCACACTCCAGGGGTGAACAGTCTTCCCCAGTGGAGTGTCATGGGTGTACACCCACACGCCAGGGGTGAACAGTCTTCCCCAGTGGAGTGTCACGGGTGTACAACCATGCCCCATGCCCAGGAATAGGTGACTAACACAAAATGAATTCCATTTTGTTAGTTTAATTTTGGTATTTTTTTTACTTGATTGGTTTTTTGATTTTCTTTTTCTTCAGTTTTCTGAGACAGGGTTTCTGTGTAGCCCTGGCTGTCCTGCAACTCGTTCTATAGACCAGGCTGTCCTTGAACTCAGATTTGCCTGCCTCTGCTGAGATGAAAGAGCCCCAGCATTTGTGGTATTTTATGTGCATCGGTACTTTGCCTGTGTGCATGTCTGAGGGTGTCGGGTCCCCTAGAACTGAAGTTACAGACAGTTGTGAGCCGCCGTGTGGGTGCTGGGAACTGAACCTGGGTCCTCTGGAAGAGCAACCAGTGCTCTTAACTGCTGAGCCATTTCTCGAGTCCCTTGCAGTTATTATTATTTTTTTTTAAAAGAGAGAAAGACATAAAGCATAAAATTGGGTGGGGAGGGAGGTGGGAAGCATCTGGGAGGAGGAGAGGGAGGGGAAACATGATCAAAATACATTGTATAAAACCAAATAAACAAACCAATCAATCAGCCAGCCTTGTCATGGTGGGGTGCATTTATAATGCCACCCCCGAGGAAGCAGAGACTCCTTCTGCTTCTGCATGGCCTGCCAGCAAGCTCCAGGCCAATGAGAGAACCTGTCTCAGTAAACAAGGTGAAGGCTCCCGAGTAACTGAATGACACCCTCAGGTTGTCTTTCCACCTGCATGCTGACACGTGTGCTTACACACATATGAACACACTTTCACACATGTCCACACATACACAAGCATGCTCATACAAGTGTGCACACACACGAACATGATCACACACATGTACACACACACACACACACACACGAGCATGCTGACACACAGAATAAATGGGTATTGGCTTAAGCCACCGAATTGGTGTTTTCTTTTTTGGTTGTTTTTTGTTGTTGTTACAAAGTAATAAAAGATTAATCCAAACCACAAGTGTTTAAATATTTAAAAGTCCCGTGTCAAACTTAATCACTGTTAAAGTATGTTGTGCCCATCTGTAGTGACAAATGTCTTCACAATAACCACGAAGGCTGGGGTCATGGTCATAGTTCCCTGATGACTTGGAATTCTGGGCCAGGAGGCAGCTGCCTGGGGGAGGGCTCGCCATAGACCATAGGCCAAGCCTGTGGTCTCGTTTTCTTTTCTTATCATCTCGTTCCTGTTTCCATCTTGGACCAGGAGGTGCACAGCCCATCCCAGAGAAGCCAAATTCCAGCCACTCCTCTGCAAACTGCTGGCCCTTGGGAGCAGGGTGTGGTTTGCCTTTGGTTTCCTGCCTGATTGGAGAGGAATGCCGCCAGGACGTGCGTGAGGTGAGACCTAGGGAGAGGGCCATGGCTGGGGGGCACGTCCACTTGGACCCCTGGACTCCTCATCCCCATGGGTGGCCAGATGTTGAAATAGGAGTGGCGGGGCTGCGTCCCCAGCACCCCGGCCACCTGGCTAGCTTATGCCCGAAATAACAACACACAAACTGTATTCATTTAAACACTGCTTGACCCATTTCTATCTAGCCTCTTCTAGGCTAACTCTCACATATTAATTTAGCCCATTTCTAATCATCTGTGATTACTGGGAAGATTCTAGCCTACGTCCATCCTGGTTTGGAGGAGCTTCATTGCGTGCATCTGCCCAGGAGAGCGGAGCATGCCTCTCTGTCTGAGGCGTCTGGCTCTGAGAGGAGCTGCATTACTTCTGACCTCACTTCCTCTTCCTCCCAGCATTCTCTTCTGTTTCTCCACCCACCTATGTTCTAACCAATAAAATGGGCCAAGCCAGTTTCTTTATTAGCCAATGACCTTCCTCCATCAGCCAGAGTTGTTGATTCATTTACAGCTGAGGCCGCGGGGGGGAAAGGACTTTCATATCTCCATGTATTGTAGTAGATGCACGTGCCATAACCTCCACGAGTGACATTTAGTCCATTCATGATGTTGTGCGAACACTATTTCTTTCTAATTCTGGAACTTTTTTTTTTTCTCTAAAAGAAAGCCATGTCTCCATTAAAGCAGACACTATCTGTCCAGACAATCACTAATCCATGCCCCATCTTTGTCTTTGTGGCTTTACCTATTCTGGATATCGTATGGAAATGGGATCTACAGTGTGTGGCCTTGTGTGTTCTCTGAGCACGACCTCAGGCTCCTCTGCATTGTGGCTATGGTAGTACACGGCTAAACCATGCTAGCATCTTAGGTGGTGCTGGGCTGGGGGTGAGGAGAAGCCGGCGGATAAATGCTACCTCTTGGTCCCTTTCTGCTCCGTGCATTTTGGGACCTGTCACAGTGGACTATGCTACTAAAGCCTGGGGACCCCCAAGAAACAGTCAGTGTCATGATAGCTCCTGGTCTTGGCAACCTGACCCTGCATCCGGACTAGCAACAGAAGCCGCAGATGGCCTAGACCTGTCCTGGGAGGTCCCAGAGACTGGTTCCCCGTTCTCTCTGGTCAGGAAAAGCCACAGCCTGTTTGTGGTGACACTTTTGAGGTCACAGAGGGTGTCAGGGGGAGGAGTGCATGGCCTTGGGAGTTGGAGCTGCCTCATTGCTGTGTCTGGAAGACAGGGGTGGGGTGGAGTGGGGGTCTGGGTCTGGCTTGGCACCAGGGGAGGCAGCAGGCCTCAAGGGCGGCTTAGATCTTCAGCAGAGCAGATCGTTTTCCCAGAGAAACTTAAACCCACATTGTTTGTTCTCTACTCTGCAGACGCCTCAACTGAGGAAACCACTGGAATCTCATTTGTAGGGGAATTTGGCCCCAGAGCCCCCTCCCCACCCCTTCCCCACTCCCTAGTGGGAGAGCGCCAAGACTTCAGTCACTGCCACCAACTCCAGCAAACCCCAAACCACAGGAATGCAACCCGGTCACCTGGGGACAACAGAATAAAGTGCTGGACAGTGAATGGACCGCGAGCTGTCAGCCTGTGCTGTGTGTGTGTGGAGGGGGGTTGGTTGTTTTGTGACAAGGGTATTTGGATTCGGGGTCCCCAGACCTCAGCGTAGATCCAACCCTGGCACTCTGGTCATGGAATCTTGGGTGGTCACCTCTGTGACTGACCATACTCACCTGGCCAATTCGGCCCTCAGCCAGACCCATGTGAGGAGCTGACTTTGGCCAGGAAAACAAGGGATGATGGGAGGAGTGGGAAGGGTAAAACCTGCCAGTCGGCAGGCTCCACAGGCTGAGCTAAGAAGCTCTCAGTATGGCTCCTCAGGGTGAAGCAGGCCATAAATTAGCAAGTGCTGTTCCAGGTACTTTCCGTATCTGATAGCTTTTCTCTTCACAGACAGAAAACCGAGGTGTGTGTGTGGGGGGGGGGGGGGGGAGGGGACAGGAACAGGCACTAAGGGCAGAAGCTGGAAGGAGCAGCTACCCCTAATGTTATCCTCTTACTGAACAAACCACTGGTCCCCAGTTTGGTGTGAGACTTCTTTCTTGGTAGAATTCTAGCTGGAATTAAAGTTTCCCACACCACTGTCTTCTATTTTTCCTTCTTCCTTCCTCCTTTCTCTCCTCCCCCCATCTTCTGTCTTGTGTATGTATGCATGTGCAAGTACACGTGTGGGGGGGGGTGGGAGTGGTTGTGGAGTTCAGGGAACAAACTTCAGGTGTTATTCCTCAAGGGCCATTTATTGTTGTTGTTGTTGACACAGGAGCTCTCTCTCATTGGCCTGGAACTCACCAAGCAGGCTACGCTGGCTGCCCAGTGACCCTCAAAGATCATGCGTGTTTCCTGCTTCTCGGTGCTGGGATTGCACTGCCAAGCCATGTATTTTAAATTTTGTTTTATTTTAAAAAATGTGGGTTCTGGGGTATTGAACTCAGGTCCTCAGGCTTGTAAGGCAACCACTTTACTGACTGAGCTATCATTACCCAGTCTGCCTGTCTCCCTCCCTCCCTCCCTCCCTCCCTACCTCCCTCCCTCCCTCTGTCCATCCGTCCTGTTTTCCCTCTTTTTTACAGGAGGTGAGACCCAGGGACTTTTCCATGCTAGGAAAGCGCTCTACCTCTTAGTAACATTCCTAGGCCTTAAAAAGAAATGATTTTTAAGATGGATCTTGCTAAATTGTCTACACAGGCTTTGAATTTCTAATTCTCTCACCCACCTCTCAAGCGGCTGAGATTATGGGGCGCACCATTATACCCAGCTAGAATCATACTGGTTTTGAGAGGGAACGGATCCAATATTAAGTTGTTTAAGTTGTCTGCTTAGAGAGGAAAGAACCCAGTCTTAGATGGGAAGCAGTCACTCATCCTAAGTCATCTGGGCAGAGCACACACCAATCCCAATCTTCATGGGCCATGGACTTTGTGCTCAGAGGGGTGGGGAGGCGTGAGGGATTTCAAGCTGGGCAGCACCCAATCAGATGTGTGTCAGAGATGACCTGCTGGAACAAGAGGGCATTTGAGGAGGGTCTGGGGGGGTGATGGGGTGAGACATTTAAGATGATAGCTTTAAAATGTCAGAGGGTGGCAGAGCTGGCCCAGGGGTTAAGAACACTGACTGTTCTTCCAGAGGATCTGGGTTTGATCCCCAGAACCCACAGGGCAGCTCACACCCATCTGTAACTCCAGCCTTAGGGAATCCAACATACTCTTCTGGTCTCCAAGGGCATCAGACACATGTGTCCACTAACATACATGCAGGAAAAACATCCACACAAATTAAAAAGATAAAACTGAGATAAAAAATATGCTTGTGTGTGTGTTGGTTTGTGCACATTTAAGTGCAGGTGTCCGTGGAGGCCGGAAGAGAGCCTCATATCCCTTAGTCACAGGGAGTTGGGAGCCACCCTATGAAGGTGCTGGGAACCAAGCTCAGGTCCTTCCTAAGAGCATGTAGCTCTTAGCCATGAGCATCTCTCTAGTCCAGTGGTCCCCAACCCTCTTAAGCTGCGACCCTTTAATACAGTTTCTCATGGTGGTGGCCCCTGACAGTAAAATTATGTTGCTACTTCATAACTGTAACTTCACTGCTGTTACGAATTGCAATGTAAATATCTGATATGCATCATATCTGATATGCAAGCTCAAAGGGGTTGCAACCCACGGGTTGAGAACCACTACTCTAATCCCTGTACCTTTTTTCTTTTCTTTTCTTTTTTCTTTTCTTTTCTTTTTTCTTTTTTTTTTTTTAATGCTGGCTGTGACTCACAGCCAGGGCTGCAGATGGCGGCTTGAGAACTGTCTAGACACTAAAGCTTGTGAAGTCAGAGCACTTTTACTCACGGCTGTGTCCTCGGGGCATCGCACAGGGCCTGGCACACAGACAGGTGCTCAACCAATGTTTGTTGAATGACCCTCTAATACGTTCAAATACCAATGATTAAGTGAACCTGTGAATGAATTGCCTTCCCCGCCCAGACAGGAAAGAGTGACTTTGATCAGAGTCTTCCGTTTCTGAGAAAACCCCAGCGGTTCCTGTGGCTTTGATCCACGGCCTTAATTCTCAACTGTTCTGCTCCAGCCAACAGCTCTGGCTGATCATTTCCTGTTTTCTGACCACCTTATCTCTCTTTCTCCCCAAATAATCTTTGGCTTTCTCTTTCTAGGTGACTCTGCTCCATGGCTCCGCCTTCTAGTTCTTCCCCTCAGTCTTGTCTCATCTTGTCTCCTCTCTGGCACAAAGGAGAGCTGACTAGTTGGGTTAAGCCCTCTCTCCCCAAATCCAAGCCTCCTGGGGTGCTAGGACTTCCTGGGTCAGGCTCTGAGTCTCCTGGAGGGGAGAGGACGGGCGTGGGGCTGGGGTTTGGTCCACTTCCAGCTGATGCTTATTTGGGTAGAAGAGGGAAGAGCCTAGGGATGGAGGCTTGACCGCGACAGAATAGCTATGAACTCTGGAGGATCAGGGAGGGTTCCGGCAATAAACAAAAACCAACCAACCAACAGACAAAAATCCCTGAAGACAGTAAGTGTTAGCTCAGCCAAGAAGGATGTGGAGGCGCTTGCTAGTGGCAGTCACTGCACGTGCAAAGGTCCTGAGGTAGACGGGAGCAGTGATGACCTGCTTGAGGGGCTGAAACAAACCCAGTGGAGCCCACGCCCAAACAGCAAAATGAGGCTAAGGAGATAGCCTGGGGCTAGCCCCTGTGCACCAGACTAGACATTTTGGCTTCATCCCAAGAGCAGTGGGAAGCAGCAGAACGTTTGACTAGGCCCTGAAGACCCTGTATTTTGAAAAGATCTTTGCTATAGTATGGCTAACAGACGGGACGAAGGGTCAAATGAGAAGCCGGGTTCCAGGGCTGTGCAGTTGCTTAGAGATGGGGCAGCATCAGGGTGGTGTTGGAGGAGTTCCAGGCACATGACTGGCTTTGCGAGGTCCTGAGGTCATGTGTTCCATGGTTACACTCAGGAGTCTGTCCTAGGGAGCCTCAGGGCCTTGCTGGACTTTGCCTCCCATGGCTGGCTGTCTTAACTGCAAAAACAACCTAAGGTAAGCCAGACAGGTTGAAAGTGCAAAGTCCTGAGATAGGTTCAGACTGCACGTGCCAAAGGCACAAGGTTAGCAGGAGAAGCTCCCCTCATCTGCAGCAGTGAGGACAGGACCCTGGAAAAACCACCATTAAGGTCTCCCCAACCACTGAAATTTACAGGAGTCTTGGTGCTAGGGATCCTCTGTGTAACTCCTGGGGGCATGCCCCATGCCCTGGCAAAGACCCTTCCTTAGAGTAGCAGGGCTGAGGGCTGAGACCTGAGACCTGGAGGACCTGAGGCAGCTGCTCAGTTGCCTGGCCAGTGAGAGGGGCTCCCAGACCTGATCCCCCTTTCTTCCTCCTGTCTCCTCTGACTCAGTTCTTGGAAGTTCATTCCTCTGTAACCTGATTACTCATGGAGCCTCCACCCTTCCCACGCAGATCCACACCCTTCCCTGGAGGAGGGGCTGGTAGGGGAGCCCTGAGGTTGTGAATGTGCAAACCTAACAGCCATGCCTCCGCCCCCTCCCACCCCGCCAGAGTAAGGTCTGAGTCTCCCCTTTGGGGTGGGGGAGCTCTCCAGGGATGTGGATACTCCTTAGCTTTGGAGTTATGAGCTCCTAGGAGCCCACCAGGAGTGTTTGCTGACAGGAGGCCTTGGTGTGAATGCTGAATGGCTGGCGGGTGTAGGTGGGTTGTTGGACCTCCAGTCCCTGCTCCGCTGCAAGTCCCTGATACTGAGGGCTATCTGTGACTCTGAAGGGCTCGGCTGTCGGGGACAGGCCAGCATGGAAGAGTGTTTTCTCCTCAGAGTCCATCCTGCCCATGTCACCCAGGAAGCCCAGCCCCCCCCCCTGCTGTGACTGTGTTGGGATCAAGAGTTGATGGGGTTGCTAGGGACCCAGAGAGTCTGGTCTCCAGCTGTCTTTTCCTTTCCTGTCCACCCTGGGGGTAGAGGAGTGATTTTTGTCATTCTGTTCTCTAGCATCTGGTTCCCCAAGCAGGTTCACAGGCATGCTTTAGGTCAGCAGACCTTCGGGGAGGGTAAGAAGTCACAAGCCAGAAGAAGTTTCCAGTGACCTGCAAGGGCATCTGAAGCAGCCCTGTCATTTTATCCCCAGGCTGCCTGCTCACGTCACACAATCCAGGATGGCTCTTACCAGCCTGAGTGCACGCTCAGGAGACACCATTCTCTCCCTTCCCGATCTTACTACATTTTCGTGGTTGAGGATGCCCCAGAGAAGCAAGCGCCCACTCTAAGACAATCCCTGATTGCTGGGAACATCAGGAGCTGGGGACACAATGACCAACAGGGACCCAGAGATGCACAGAGGCCGTGGGAGGTTCTGAGGGCATGGTGGCAGCTTCGAACTCTCTTCTAGAAGTTCTAAGGAAAACCAGTTGGACAGGGCAGAGCCACCCCGGTTACCCTGGAAAGATCATAAGCCTTAGATAGTTGAGAACAGAGTGGTGATCAGTGG